TGAAATAGCTACTCTTTGGAAATAAGTCTGAAAACACTTTTTAGTTTTGCTTTGTTTTTAAATTGGAGTGAACTAGGGAAATCGTTCCAGAATTTGTTTAGGATTTGGTTGCGCTGTTGCTGGCATGGAAACTTCCATTGTTCAGTGTTGTTAATCTTTCTGGAGCATGTGCAAGATTGGGCTTTGCATATGCAAATGTTAACAGAGTTCTGTTAACAGAGTTCTGTTTACTGAATCTGTGTGTTACGGGAAACGTTACTGCAACTGTGGGAATTCCTGGGTTGCAACTGTTAATGTCAGTTCCACCAATAGTTAATGCAGCTGTTTGCAGTGTCCATGAAGGGCATGTGTAGGCACTGCAAAAAGGTTATGAGGTGTATTATGAAGGGAATAATGTGAATACTTTTTACTGTTGTATAATGTGTAGAACAAGGAAAACGTAATTGCTTTACAATTCTCACTCAGTTGGTATTCAGTTATTTTATTTTGTAACTCGTGATTATAAAACTCAGAAAACGCAATGTATCCAAATGATCAATGTGTATATGTGTGCAAGACATGACAGAAATGGTTCTGAGGCACAGCTGGAGAGTGATCATTTAATAAGATTATTAAATTGTATATATACTTATGACATCTATTTGATAGTGCATTTTAGTTCATTTTGCATTTCATGTTCTTGTAAAGTGTATTTTCCATACTTCTGAGGATTGTCTACCTGTACAATACTGTTATCTTAAGTCTTTTTTCAGGACTTCCATTATTGCTGGAGCTTCCAACATGTATATGTTTCTTTTGAAAAAATGTTCCTACTATTATTTTTTGTAAATAGTTTTTTGTATTGAATTTGCATGGATAAAACCCACATTTCCAAAACCAGTGTACATACTCTCTGTATAAAATACAAACCGTTTCATACCTTTAACGTAGTCAAGTTATTCAATTTGATCTTTTTTCAGTTTCTCCATAGTTGTGGTAAAACAAGTTAATGAGAACTTGTTGTATGTTCTTTCAAATGTCTTTGCTGGCGTTTTGAGGGATAAGTGACCTGCCTAATTACATATCAGGAATTATGTTCTCTTACTGTGACAAAAAAAAAGAAATGTTAACTGTTATTCCGGGAAAATATAGGACACTTTTCTGTGTGGAGTGTATTAAGTCTTCTGTTTGACCAACAGACAAGTCAGTGTTGAGAATACGTGAGGACAAAGGTGCCTTCACTTGTAGCAGGGTCTTTATTCATTTGCACGCTTTCCTGTCTTACCTACAGGAGAACCACCCGATGTCTTTCAGCCAATGTGTTTGGAACAATACCTTTTTCTGAATCTTGCTAATGCTCTCTTAGGAGTGTAGTTTCATTATAAGCTTAATCCAGTATGAAAACTTCTACTGATAGAGCTGATCTGCTTCCCTTTCATTCCCTGGGTTGGATCTAGTGATAGTAATGATCACATTTTGCATTGTTTAGTGTCATTAAATGCTAAATCGGGTCTTAGGGAAACAAAGCTGCCATTTTTTTGGCACAAGCTGCAGTTTGAGCAGATTACACAAACGTAGGTTAAAATACAGGATGTATTGACTTCTTTTAATCTAAATGTCATTGTTTACTTCAGCATCTTCTGCAGAACTATAAAGACCTGAATACTGAAAATAAAAGATTCTCTTTTGCACAGTTGCTTTTTCCCTGTGAGGCTGCACCTGCACCTACCTAGCAGTCCTTTTTTTTCTAATGAAGCACAATTTGAGACTTTATAAAACAGAAATTGAAGAACAGCATTGCAAAGAAAGTGAGTAACGTCCCTTGAAGAAGGCCTCTAAATAGTTGGAACATTTTTGTAGTTAGAGCTGGAAGTTTTGTGGTTTAGATATTCTGTGAATCTGTTGTTCAGTTCCTAGTCTAAAGAAAGCTTTCCTCTTATGAAAAGGTTTTTGGGGGTCTACAAATGGAATGGTACCATGTCATGCTTCTTGTGGGGACTGTACTCCATGACCCATGAGATCCCCATTGGTCCTTGGTCACCTTCCTGGGAAGGTCACTGTTGGATAATGGAAATGTTATAAGCAAAAGGTCTGTAACTTCCTTTGTAGAGACATTTGGAGAGAAATTGAGAATCCTTTAAGTTTTGCGGGTTGTTGTTTTTTTTTTTTTTTTTTTTAAGCCTGGAAGTTTTGATCAGGGTAGCACAAATGAGTATGTTCCTTTGTGTTTGTACTATCAACTGCTGATAATTTGGTTAAGCAAGGTCCTTGTCTGAGCTGTATCCTCACCTGTTAAAAGTTTTGTAACATGGCAAACTTCATCTGTTAACAAAGAGTAGATAGCTTACAAAACTTCTGCCTTGGTAAAGGCATCTGCGGCGGGGAGACTGCATAGGTTCCAGCAAGATTTGAGGATGGCTAACAGTGAATACATTTTATAGATCTTTATTACAATACTTCCTCCACCCAGTGACACTGCAGGAGTAGTCTTTAGTTTTTACAGGACTTGCTGAGTGCGATTCCATTTTTTCGCGTCACACGGAGCGTGTTCCACTTGCATTTCCTTCGTCAAAGATGGTGAACTGCTGCAATACAGAACTCTTGCTTTCTGTTCAAGGTTGAAATCTCCTGTGTTTCCTACTGTAGTCCGTCAGGTACCTACGATGCACATTCTCATTCCCATGCTGTGTCTGCTTTTACGTTCTTCACTGTCCAGCTTGCAGAACAAGTGTATGTCTCAGTATTTCCACCTGCTCTTTTGCATTAGTTAAGATGCATTGCCATGCCTTTAGCCTTTTAATTATCCTTGACAATTAAGATATATCTACACCAGTGATGGATATGGCTATAGTGGCCCAGAGTAGCTATGCTGTTCTGATACTCTTTAGTTTGTTAAAATTGTATGAAGGTTGAAATATCAAAGTATTTTTCAACTCTTTCCCCATCGTTTCACATAATCCTCATATTTGTGATACTATATTTAAACTTATATTAATCAAATACTCTGGCTGAATAAACTGGCTAAAAGTATCACCCAAATGGCTGTTAGAACCCCTCAAGGAATATTTTCAAAAGCTTATAAGATGCTTAATATTGCCATGACTTGAGCACAGTAAACCTATTTACAAAATGTGTACATAATTATTTCTATTTAATTAGTTAGGCCTCATGCTAGTAATGGAAATCTCATACTAATAATGTCCTAATTATATAGCCAAAGAGTAGATTATAATATTAATATCTAGTTCTAGCAGTCGTAGCACTGCCTTCAGGACTGCATAACGTGTAACTCTGCACAATAGCTTATAGCTAATAGTCAGGGCAGTATAAGAAGAATTAGAACATGTTAACTTTTTTGGAATTCACAGGTGATTGTTAAATCTTTAACTTTGTATCATCTTAACATAGTTTTCATTATAGTGCGGAAGTGGAACAACTAGACTGTATGTGGAACTTCTGTAGTTTTTTAGCTAATATTTAAATGTGACACATTTGAATATTTGTATTTTTCAGCAACTCAATAAACATCTATCTTTAGAGTATTAAAATGTGGCTTTATTATAATTATTTCAGTGTCAGAAAGACTTGATAAAAGTGTACATATATGTATTGTATGTGCGCACACGCACACAGATAGTGTGATCTTTAGATCAATATTCTCAAGTTGGAGAAGTGATACATGATTTACCCAGATCCAGTAAAACCATGTGTTGTGCCTATATTCCGTTAGCTGATCCTGTAGGGCCTTTACTTGCACTATCCAGTTCGGTTGCGTTTCCCATGATAAAGAATCACCTCTACTCCTAGCGCCCTTGGAAAAGGAATACCTGAGTCCTTAACGAGGAACGCACCCGTAGCACAGCATGTTGTCGCCACCGCTCCAGCACGCAGCTATGAAAGCTCCCACTGGCAGAGGCCCATCTGTGACTGCAGCAGTCCACCGCTTTTTGCATCTGCCTTTCCCTCCTACTTGCATAGAGCCACGTTAAATTTCCCAACTCTCCAACGTCTCAGAGTTTAGTTTTTTGTAATGTGTCTACTGATATTTTTGCGCTCCAATGATGTAGTGTTTTATTTATTTCACAGTTTACATGAGTCAGAAATACTGATCCCTTAACAAATTAACATTTACACTTAAGAAGAATTTGGCATTCTGTATAAGCAGGTATGAATTTATAAGCTGATGACACATTGTTCATTTCAATCACTTGCTCTTGTGATGCGTGATTTGGTCTCCAGAAGCTCTTTTTCTTCTCCTGTAATCGAAAGGGAAAGGAAAACAAAAAAGAAAAAAAAGTAAAGCAACAGCAAACAATATACTTTCTGGTATAAGCTTCCAAATGCATGAACTTCTCAAAAATATCAGATGAGATAAGGCATCCTTCGTTCCATGCGTTCTCCAGCTCCTAAGAAATTCAAGCAAAAGGGAGAGGGATTGTCTGAAATTTACAGCAATAACATTTAGATATGGGTAAGTGATACTGAATTTAGTAACAAATACAATTTACTCTGAAGCTTGCCTCCACCGCTAATCAGCAGGTGATGTGTCTAGCTTGCATTGTTCCATTATGTACTGAAATGATAAGGTCATTCTGTACTTTCCCCAGTAAGACATTTACACAATGGTGAAATTGAGATGCTTCTGTGATAACTTTGTGATTTTGGCTCAAGCAACATAAACTTTTCTTTCCTAGGAATATCAACTAGAAGTTGATTATGTTATTTCTGGTGAAACGGTATGGTGCTTTTGTATACTGTAATATGCCAATAAGCTATCTAGTGTTGTTAATGTTTTGTAGGCCAGTATTCTCTCTGCAGTTCTGATTAGACAGAAATAAGAATTGAGACCCTTTGACCAATGGCCTGTCCACATGTATCCTCCTTTGTCTAATAGCAGATATTTAGTCCTTCAGCATTAGTTTTCTAGCTTTAAAAACCCAGAGGAAAAACAGATCCTGTTCCCAGTGTTGATTTGTACCTGCAGCCTCATTGTTAGAAGGCAACAGGCTCTGCACTCAGGCTCACCTCCAGGACCTGCCAGAGCTGTCTCTCCATCAGGCTGCTTGGGTCATTTTGGACCTTCCTTTCAAAACATAGGCTTCCCACGGCACTGTGAAAGTTGCAGCTTGGCTGGCAGTGCCGTTGTAGTTAAAAGCATAAACGGAGATGCGAAGCAGGAAGAAGTAACAATGGGAAAGAATATGTTGGGGTCATGGGGGCTGCCAATCTGTTGCAGGTGATGAGAAGAATATTCAGTTCAGATGGGGGAGTTAGAGCTCTCCAACCACGTGGGTCCTTCTTGGTTTAGTCTAGTTAAATTTTTCAGGTTCTTTCAGGATCAGGATGATGGAGACATAACTGTTATCAGAACAGAGAACAGGCAAAAGAGAGGTTAATAGCAACGCTGGCAAACTTTCTTCCTCCTGTCTTGGCAAACTATGGTTTGCAAAAGAGGTGGTGGACAGAATTGCTTTTCTTGGATGTCCCCACATCACCCCTGATTAGGCCTCATTTGTTACTCAATACTCTTGCCCTTGTGCGTGCAGTCCCACGCTTGCCTGTTTGCTGATCACCATAATACCGCCTCTTCGTGGCGTTATCAGGCTTTTTTTGTGTGTTTGGGGGCTTCAAAACTCTTTGCCAGTTTTAGTTTTCGCTGGCTTCTTAGAAAAAGCCGTAGCATACAGGCTGAGTTTGACCTGTGCTCCTTCTGCTAACCTTTAACGTTTTGCACAAAGTTCTGTCGTTGTGACTCTAGTAGTGCTGGTACTGTTTAATATAGAAAATGAAATGACAAACCTTGTTGTATTTAGGAGAAAGGCACTTCATTCTTTCAGGACTCGTGTCTCAAAAGTAGGATTTCGTTTCACTTAACTAGATCATCAGGCCTTGTAGATACTGACAAAGCAAAGAAAATGAAACTCACTTGTAATTAAAAGCAATCTCAGACTGCCACAGCGTGTTTTGAAAGTATCTATGAAACACAACAGCCTCTGGCTGCTCCCCCACGTACAGATGGAGAAAGAAACCTTTCCCCATCTGTTTTTTCTCACTTGGACATTTACACAAACCAGGAAAACCTTATGCGCAGAATGTTAAATTTAGTTTTTCTGAACTGGAAATTTTTTAACCTAAACTTATTGTCTTTTTTAAAAGCAGCGACAAACTGCTGTCAAATTGACTTGTTATGCTAAACATGAAAAGTGCTAAAAATACACAGATATTTTTAATTTTCTCATGGGCCACATCTGTTTGGTAACATTTATAAGGAATGCAGGCTCATCAGTGCACAAAAGCTTAGCTGCACATGAAACAACTGCAAAGCAATCCATAGAAACATGATAATCAAAAAAAAAAAGTTAGTCTTCAATAACCTTTCCGGTGAGTTCAAATTCAATTCATAGTCTGTGTGTGAACACCAGGGAAGGATGAAGCTTGGCCATGAGACAGACTGGGGCCTGCTGCTTGTAGAGCAGCGTTGCTGAAAAGGCGCTGGGTGGTTCTTGGGGAGCAGCAGCCGGACGTCAGCCACGCACATGTGCTGGCAGCCAAGAGCCACCAGCACCCTGGGCTGTATGAACAAGAGCACAGGATACCTCTGTCATCTTGATAACCTCCTCGTAGGCACGGGCAAGCTGCTATTAGGTCCCTCCCAAACGTTCTCCTCTCCAGGCTGAACCAGCTCTGCTCCCTCAGCCTCTCCTCCTAGGGGAAGTGCTTTCACCACAAGGGCAGTCAAGAAGTGGAACAGGCTGCCCAGAGAGGTTATGCAATCTCCATCTTTGGAGATTTTGAAGATCAGCTAGGATACAGCCCTGGGCAACTTGATCTGATCTTGCAGCTGACCCTACTTTGCGCAGGAGGAGAATCAGATGAGGCCCCAGAGGCCCATCCCAACTTGAAGTCTCCTATAATCACTTCTGAGCTCGGGTGCTGCTTACAAAGCGTGAACCTGCTCAGTTATTGTTATGCAAGTCTCTTCCTGTGCTCTGATCTCCAAGAGTACAGAACATTCTGCCATTTGTCATTTTTCTGCTTGTTTATCCAAAAATGCCCTTACGTGAAGCTGCTAAAATTATTGCTTGTTGGAAACTTGCATTAAGAAAAACAAACAAAGGGGAACAAACATGCATTTAAAAATATGCATCTTGATAGGGGTAAAGGTAGCCTAAAGGGGTTTCAGTTCTCCATCACCTTCCATTAGTGCTGCCTAGTGTGTGTGTCACTACAATTTCAGCAGCCCACACACCCTCCTCCAATTAGATGAGCCTGGCACTGGCCTTCTCTTTAACGTTTGCCTCAACAAAGTCCACGTGATTTAGGACTAAAACCTTTCTTGCTTCCATTTAAAAACTGTTCCCTGTTAGCACGTCTGACCCTTCTTGGAGCAGCAGGCTGGTCTAGATGTCCTCGTGAGATCCCTTCCCACCTGAATTATGCTATGAGCTGGCTAGCAAGTGTCTGTTCACGGTGGCGGTGCAAGCTTTGCTGGCCTGCTCTGCTGGCTGGAGGGTTCCCGAGGATGCTTCTTCAAGAAGACTGGGCTGGCCAACTGACTTTAGACAGCTGCGGAGGGCGATCTGTACCAAATCCAGTGAATTTTCACTGACTTGGACAGGTCGCATGCATACGCTCCTGTCAGCTGGCAGAACAGAGCCGGTGATGGCTCTTGACAAGCGAGTGCTCTCTAATGTTTCCAGCTGTACCAAAATGAAAAAGGCCTCTGTATTGCTGGTTGATTTGTCAAGTGTTCTGCTTTGCATTTGATGGAATAAATGAGCCCAAAGACATCTTTGCCGAGCCCCACTGCATGGTTTAGTTAGCCTCACGGTTTTGACCATACAGTTCATGCTATGTGGCCCAGTGACAAGTCCTCGCAAGAAGTCTTACTGGAGACCAGAAATGTTCTAAAACAGGACTAGGAGAGAAATTTTGAACCAAAATAAATTGAACTGTTAAAACATGTTAAAAGGGGAGAGGGCTGTTTATTTACTTTCTGTTTTTGCCCTAGGATGAAGATAGTGGCTGAACGCCATTCTACTGAGCGGTCCTTCCTAGTGGGGAGGGAGTTCTGACGTCTGATATGGCGATGATGAATATTTTCTGTGCCAGACATTGGGAGGACACTAAAAGTAGGGGAAAACTTGCTTTATGTTTGAAGTTCTCGGACTCCGAAATAGGGTGTCAGTGAGGGACAGAGGGCTGAAAGATGAGCCAAGGCCGTTCCTGTTTCGCAGTCTGGCTCATTTTCTTCCTCTGCAGTGACACCCCTTCTGCTATGGGCAGCTCTCTCTCATCTCCCTCCATCCCTCTTTCTCCTCTCCCGCAGCACTGTCACAACTCCAGTGTCCCCAGCTCCCTCTGGTTCCCCTGAGTGCCCCGGACCCAAGGCGGTGGGCAGAGGTGGGTTCGGTGTCACAAGCGCTCACCAGCAGCTCTCAGCCCAGCGGAGCTGACGATAACCTCTGCCTGTGGCTACCTGCGATCCCAGCTCCCGGTGGCGCTCGGGTCCAAGCGCCTAGCTGAGGAGGAACTGATCCTCACTGCTAGCGAGGCCGTGCAGAGGTGATCTTCGTGCGTTCGAGCATTACGTTTCGCAGGTCTGCGGTTTTCAGTGGGAGGGTTTTCCCGGTCGGCGGTGGGTGTGGAGCTCTCTTCTTTCACTGGAGTCGGGATGTGATGCCCTGGGCACTTTGGAGACTTTTGTATTGCTTGCTGACTTCTCTCTAGCTTGTGTTTCTATTTCTGACACCTTCAAAAAGAACAAAGAACGCATTTGTCAGTATTTTAGAAACATTTTTGTGTAAATTAAAATCAGTGTTTTGTTGCAGGCATGAACGTTTCAATGGTAAATGTTCCCAAAGCCTTTTCCTACTTCTGTATTATATCCTCATTATTACCTGTGGGAATTTCCACGGTGAAATGCCTTCAGTGGTGTTGGTAGGCTCTTGTAGCCCAGAAGAAAAATATATTTGTTATCTTTTTTTTGTAGCCTTTGCTCTAGACCTGCCTTGCAATCTCTGATAGTGTTCCTGGAAGCAAGCTGTAGGAGAGCCAATTTTCCTGTTAACTGTGTTTTTTATCACTGTAGTGCTGCTTCCTTCTGAACTCGGGGCTTGCAGAGGGCACAGTCCTGCAGCAGGAGGCGGTCAGTGAGGAGAATTTCTGTATTGCTATGGGGCAAGTGTGACTAGAGGTCAGACATCCTGTTCCTGAAAATACTTGGATTGTCTTCAAAACTTGTTTAAATTCATCTGGACTTACAATGAAGTGTATCACATGATGAGTCAGGCTGTGCCAGCACATGGCTTGAGGCACTTCATATCTTGAGGGAGTTAGTGGGAACTATGACTTCATTAAGGAAATGTCCGAGCATGCATTGTCTGCGCTCATGTTCCTTCGGCGTGTACACAGGGGCTTTCTACAGAGGTGATGGTGCAAGACTGGGAAAGGTTTCAGAAGACGGTAGCTCTTTGAGAGCAATGTTCATACTTGGACTAAAAGAATATTTGAAAGATGCTGCTTAGTCAGTGCAGGAGGAATTTAGGAGTGTGAGAATCCCTTTTAAAAGCATGCAGGCTGCTGCATCTATAGGTTTAAGGAATGTCTTTTACAAGATCAGGCAAGCTGCTGAGATTCGGTCATCGAAAACAATGGTTTTCTTTCCCCTGTTCAGAGAAATCTCCCTAAGCCAGCCGAAATCCATCCTGTTAGGGGCATTTAATTAACACGTTGATTCACAATTCATTTTATACATATATATCTTAAAGCCTGTTGAAATATTTTTCGTATTGTGCATCATTTTAGGATTACTCAAACTTACATTGTCAGCCCTGAATAGAGTAGGGCAAGCCCTAACTGTAGAGCAGAGCATCAGTGAAAGTCTGAAACTTGAACAAGCAGGAAATAGTGCAAAGATCTTTGAGCCTAAGCCTACGCACCCACAAACACCTATACCCTCAGGAGTTCTGCGTTTCTCAAGCATTAGGCTGAAGAAAATCAGGGATAAATTGTTAGCTAACATTTTTACGTGCAACATGCCCAAGTCATCTTTACAACTGTCAAGCCCTGCCTGCGGGAGACCGAGGTGAATGCCAGTTGTCTCCTACCAGTCACTGATCTACTGTTAAGCAAGCCAAGCGAGGCGCAATGCCCGACGTGAACGACCGTCTGCAGCGGCCAAAGGACTTGGAGCACTTACGGCACCGGGGAACCACAAAGAGGCTGAGACTCCGTGGGGAGACGTTTCGGGAAAGGGACGTTCACCAGCCCCCTCGGTCGGCTCTGCGCAGGCAGGGCCAGGCTGGCAGCACAGACCCTGTGCAAGGGCAGCAGGACTCGACAGCTCCGGCCTTGGCTAGAGCCTTCAGGAAATCCTCTCTGAAACCACCGTGTTGGGCCGAAGTCCAAACCTGACTGGGACAGCCCAAAACTGGAAAGAACTGGGAAGAGGGAGCTGGTCTGAGTGTTGGGAGTTGACGGGCATGAGAAACGCAGGGGGAGCGGAAGAACCGTTATTTGTTTGCATAAGAACCACACTTTCTCCTGTTGCTCTTCACTTTGGATGTGGCTATAACCTTTATGAGGGGAAATGTGATAATCTGCTTTATTGAAGGTAAACTTTGAGGTCCCTCTGCAGTCTCGCGGGATGCCACCACCTCCCAACTGCGAGGTGCTGTGCTCCGGTTGCCCTGCCGAGAGCTGGAGGTGTGGGGCTTTCCAAAGTCCTGGCTTGCAGCATCCCCTGGTGAAGACCAGGGAGTTCAGGTGCTGATACTTGATACTTCCATGCTAGTGAGCCCAAATTTGCATCCAACCATTACATGGATAGGGCTCATATTCAAGTAAATGTGGACATTGGGCACACTTAACTGCCAGCTGCAGTAGTCCTTGGAAGAGGAGGCCTTTTGGGTGTTATGAGCCCTACGTGCTCTGCCGTCGTTGAATGGAAACACAGGCATTTCTCTGGCTGAAAGACTGTTATCTAACACGGTGCTTGCTCCCAGGCACGTACAGGGAGTTAAACACCATGGGAAAAGCCTAGTCTATTCTTCTCCCTGGAGCAAACTTCGTGTAGAGCACCCACAGGTCAAATTACATCAGGGAAATTAAACCTCTTTCTGATTTCCCTGAGCAAAACCCCACAGTTCCCAGTGCGCACGAAGACGGACCAGCCAGCTCACCGCCGAGCAGCCCCC